AGGGATGCTCAAAATAATTATTCATGGATGAAATGAGTGTTGGTCAAGATGTGGACCTTACCATGAAGGAGGCATAAGCCCTTGGCAAGACCAGGAGCCTAATACTTTCAGCTACATGCACTAGTTCTAGTTCTAAACTTCCTTTAATCTGACTTCTACTCTATTTCATGGAAGAGTCCAACCACTGATCTTCCTCATAGAGAACCTCTCTTGCAAGGGAACTAGTGGAACTTCCATGTATTGAGAGTGAAAACTTTAAGACCTAAGCTCAATAACTGTTTTGTGCCTATTTAAAATGCTCCTAAATGTTGGCACATTTGACAGAATTTGGTCTCCTTGCTCTAAGTCTTGTTTTAATTTTAGCATGCCACCTGGTATGTTGCCATGGATCATCCACCTGTCTCTAACAGTAGGATTCTAATTAAAGAACCTGAAAATTTCTGTATGGTCAAATTGGCCTAGGTTAGTTTTTACAACGGAGGTTCAAAACATTTAAAGCAACTACTTGTAGAAATAACAGACTGAGTTAAGTATGTCTTTAAACTTTTTAAAAAGGAACCTGGAGCCCTCCATTATGTTTCTTTTAAATATGCTTTTATTGATTTTTAGAGAAAGAGGAAGGGATAGGGAGAGAGATAAACATCAGTGGGTTGCCTCCAGTATGCACCCAGACCACAGACTGAACCTGCAACCTGGGCAATGTGCCCTGACCAGGAATAGAACCGGCAACCTTTTGGTGCATGGGATGATGCCCAACCCTCTGAGCCATGCTGGCCAGGGCTTAAATTATTTTGGGGGCTTAAAATATTTTGTGAACACTTAAAGTTTTGATGATTTCTTTATACTTACCATTTCAAAACTAATGCTTCCTTTCATTTTCAAGTACAGTTTTGTATTGCATTTATAAATTGGATGAGTTTATTTCAATTCCACAAAAATGGAAAATAAATGCCAAAGTACATGATCTGAACATTTCATTCATAATGCACAGATCAAATACACCAAAAAATAAAGTTGTGTCTGTGTTAAACATATAATTGTACTTGCAAAAGCAGAAAGTTAATCCCTATAACTTCCTTTCTTCAGTTATTTAAATACACAGTCACAGACAAATATCAGTCCTATCCTCCCCTACTGCTAGCTAACCCAGGGATTGGTGAGGATAATTTCAATAGGACACAGCAGGTCTTCCTGGAGTAATGGCTTCACAATATATGCATTTTAATGAGGACAGGATCTCATGCTATGGATAAATATATAACTGTTCCAGTGCACAGCCTCCAACCCCATGCTTTCCCACCCCCCATGTTTTTTAATGAAGTGTTTTATTGAAATGTTGAGAGTATATTTTAATTCCAACATTGCATTTATTCACTCACTCCTCAAATATTTATTGAGTGCCTCCTGAGAGTCAGAATCAGTGAGCCATTCTTTTGATCATGACTATTGTAATAAATATAATCTCTTATATAAAAGGCCTGTGGCCATCACGCCATAACGCCATCACGACCAAAGGAGCAGTGGCTCTCGTGGCTGGTGGGGCAGGGCGCAAGCTAGGAGTGGTGGACAGCTAGGAGCGGCAGAGGGTGGGGCGGCCAGCTGAGGCAAGCAGAAGCGAGCTACTTGTGCACGATTTCGTGTGTGCTGGGCCTCTAGTAAGTAATAAGTGTATTAAGTTTAATAATGTAATAAATATAATTGTGACTCTACTTGAGAATAAAAAAAATATTGTCTTTTGTTAGTGCAATAGTGATGGTTAATCGTTATTACATTGCCAGGATTCCCTACAACTGACGCTATGTTAATAGATTAATTAGGGGCATAGGTAAAAGGAAGGAAATTAATTTCAAAAGAGAATCATCAAGAATGAGTTGTCTGAAAAGATACTGAGTTGAGGAAAGAAACAGATGACCTCCTGCTAACCTTCTCAACCTGCTATGGCTTTGTGCAGTCTGACTCAACATAATATGATACATAAAATATAATATAATGAAGAAAATCAGAAATTGCAATGGTTTATTGGATACTGTGTAAGAGAGAAGTATCTTCTGTTTCACATTTCTCAAAATCAGTGCCTCTGAATGGATTTGTAATTTCTCAGTGAAGGAGGCAATGTGCATGTGAGTATGTACATGCACACACATTCATGTCTGAATATATGTGGAATGAAATATATAAGCTAAAAAATTGAATTCAAGGTCTGTTGCTTTTTTTTACCCCATATTACTATAATTGTAGAAACCACATGGGCTTTTAATTACATCAGCTCTCATAGTTCCATTATCCATGATAAGTAAAGAGGGTTGATAATGAATAAAATTATTGAGTCAGCAACCTGGAATTGTTTAAAGATCGCTAAGCTAAGCCCAGCTGGCGTGGCTCAGCACTTGAGCATCAACCTATGAACCAGGAGGTCACCATTCAATTCCCAGTCAGGGTATATGCCCGGGTATGGGCTCAATCCCCAATAGGGGGCATGCAAGAGGTAGCCAATCAAGGAATCTTTCTCATCATTGATGTCTCTACCTCTCTCTTCCTCTCTAAAATCAATAAAAATCCATTTTTTTAAAAAAATATCATCCAGCTGAAACTTGTAATTTTTCACATAAAGATTGAATATCATGTCCAAATTTACATAGTTAATGGTAAACTAGGAAAATAACCAGAATACAGATTACTTCGCACCTGCCTTACATGCAAACCAAGGTTTCTGAATGACCCCCAACTTCTATCTAGGTGCTCCCTTCTGCCTATCTTTTAGCTTCCTGTTGTTCCAATGTTTGCCACTTTTCCTTCTCAGACCTTATACTTAAATGGTTGAACTAGTTTAAAGTGTTAATCCTTCCATGAGTATTTCTATCTTAATATGGATGTAAAGGTAAACTAAAGACATAAAACTCTAGAAACACCAATCAGAAAGGATATACGCATCCCTATGTTCATAGCAACACAATTTACAGTAGCTAAGATTTGGAAACAGCCTAAGTGCCCATTAGCTGATGAGTGGATTAAAAAAAACTGTCCTACATCTATCTACACAATGAAATACTATGCCGCTATAAAAAAAGGAAGGAACTTTTACCATTTGCAACAGCATGGATGGAACTGGAGTAAAAGAAGAAATAAAACTCTAAACATGGGATTTCAGGCATACATAAGGATGGGTAGATGGTGGTGGAAGGAAGTGTTCAGACCCTTCCAAAACCCTTGAATCAGCTTCCTGGTCTCCTAATTAAAAGGCAGTTCAAACATGATTTATATACCTGAAGACCTGTTGAACATTTTACCAAAATTAAATTCTACTGCTAGGAAATGTGTTAATAATGAGCAGAAAAGCCCTATAACACTGAATATGCTTTATGGAAGAGAGTTCATGTAGAGTAAGGTAACTTGACAGTTTCACCAGATGAAAATGTTTAAGAATCAATACTTCAAAAAATTATTTCAACAAATACTCCGAATTTTGACATATTAATAAACTATGCATTCAGTACATCTATACAGAGCATGAATTATGTGTGCCAGATTCTGACCAAGGATCACAGGCATTACATCAAGATAAGGGCCTTAACTCTCTTGGAAGTTATAATGGGATTGAGGGAAGTAGTGATACAAGCAACAAAGAAACAAACCAATAAATAAACAAAGAAACAGACAAGTAATTTAAGATGGAGCTAACTGCAATGAAATAAATAGCATTGGGAGATATGATGAAGATTGACCTGGGGTGTCCGACCTGTCTGACTGGTGTGGCTCAGTGGTTGAGCATCAACCTATGAACCAGGAGGTCACGATTCAATTCATGGTCAGGGCACATGCCAGGGTTGCAGGCTCAATCCCCAGTATGGGGTGTGCAGGAGGCAGCCAATCAATGATTCTCTCTCATCATTGAGGTTTCTCTCTTTCTATCTCCTTCCTTCTCTGAAATCAATAATAAAATATATATTTTAAAAAAAGATTGACCTGGGGCTACTTTGGGCAGGATGGTCAGAAGGCTTCTTTGGAGAGGTGATATCTGAGCTTAGACCTGTGGGACAAGAAGGGAGAAAACATGAGGCAACTGAAGGAACAGCAAGAGCCAAAGCCCTAAAGTGGGGATGAATTTGGTATGTGACCAGAAGGGGATATGACAGGAGATGACATCTGAGAAGGAACAGGGACCGGTTGATGTAGGAACTAGGTGTATATGATAAGGAGTTTGGACTTGGTTTCAGGAAGTTATTGAGTAGTTTTAAGTAAGAAAGTGGCTCACTCTGATTTCCCTCTAAGAAGTAACTTTCACTTCTGTGCAGAGAATGGATTATAGAAAGACCCATGAGGAAGCCTGGAACAAGAGGGTGACAGAAAACTTACAGACAGGTACAGGGCCAAATTTGAGACATAATCAATCTGATTTGATGGATTTTATGTCAGAGGACGATTTACCTATATTGTTAATTTTAGGTACAGGCAAGATGTGCAATCCTATATAATAAAACCCTAATATGCAAATAGACCAAAAGGCGGAATGGCGGAACGACAGGTCATTATGATGCACACTGACCTGTGCTGAGCGTCTGCCCCCTGAGAGGGAGGCAACTGGTGGTGGCGATCAGGGGTGGGGGTTGGGGGTTGGGGCTGGCCAGTGGGCGGCGCCAGGCCGCCAGCCAAAGCGGGTGCCAGCGGGGGCCCCCCCATCACCCTGCCCACAGGTCGCCCCACAGATGGCCCTGATTGCCGGCCAGGCCTAGGGATCCTACTCTATATATTGGGAACAGTCTCTTAGATTTAAAAATTTAAACCTGGCAAGGCTCCTCTAACACTGAAAAAAACAGGATGATGCAGTGATGACATGCATGGACTCTGGCTTGCACATTCTGTGGTTCAGCCTTGATTCTGACACTTTTAACTGTGTGACAAAGCTAATTACTTAACTTCTCTCTGCTTCAGTTTTTCCACCCATAAGATGGGGAAAATGGTACTACTGCCTCAGAAGGATCATGTTATGTACTACTTTTTTATAATCAGGGCAAAAAAATGTAGCTGCCCATACAAAAGCGAGATGCCTTTCACCTGTATGAAAAATATGGTCACTGGTGCAAGCAGTGTTTCAGATTGTGAGAGGACACAGGCCGGGCTGAGGGACAACCCCCCCCACCCCGCCCTGGGGCACAAATTTCATGCACCAGGCCTCTAGTTAAATTATAAGGATTCAGGGAAATTTATAGAAAGGCTAATGACATTAGCAGATATTTTATAGTTTGTAATAAGAGCTATGTATGTTTGAGACATAGGCTTTAAATGAGGGGGATTAAAGAAATATTAAAAGGAAATAAACATTCACAAAAACAGGGAATGGGACAAATATTTTCTGAATAGCACTTAGTGTATTGCTGTAATTCATGGTGAAGCCTAGTGTTAACTTTCAATGAAAACATATAAATTCACTGAAACATGAAAGAGCAACTTTATTTCCTTTACAGAAACAGAAAGGCACCAAGTATATTTCAGTAATAAAATGTTTATTCTGATTGGATACTGCTTTATCCTCATGAGCTATATACCTGATAGAAATATACCAGACAGGGAAATTCATCAGGAATATTAGACTTACAAATGTTAATTCAATGTGTAATTGATATAAGCATTCTCCCCAAAGTTAGTTACTATCTGTCTTCTTATGATCAGAAAACCTTGGATAGTATTATTTTGTTAACTACTGACTTTGATCTGAGAAGCTCAGATGCTGAATGGGACGTTCGTTTTCTGTTAGATTATTAATATGAACTAGGTAGCCAACCTCCAATCTCCAAGAACACCTTACGATATGAAAAAATCTCATGAAAAAACATAAAAATAAATGAAAGATTTTTCCAATAGTTTGCTGAAAGCCGAGAAAATTAGAAGAATCATTTATCTGATGTCAAATGCAAACTCTGAGTAAATAATCATACTCGAGCCAGCTCTGTATATTGTGACATTGTGGGAAGGTGAGTACGGAAAAGATACTTAATATATCTTTGTTGAAATTAAAAAAAAAAAATAAGTGGTTTCAATTTGTTGCAAAGAAAGTTGTTTCACCTCAAACTATTGCCAGAAAGCTAACAAATTTAACTTTTCCAAAGTTATAGATCACCCAGAATGAGAGTATCTTTTCTTTCTGTTTTCCAGTGTACCTTGCAATAAAAATTGGGAGTCTATACCTAGAATAAAGCTGGTTAAAAGAAAGTAAAGTCTAATGGACACTGGTATCATATATAAATATCTTGGTTGAATGAGTTCAGGGACATAAATTGGCAGTTTGCCCAAGGCCTAAAGGGATGATTGCCCTCAGTTTATTTCCTAACAGTTTTCATTTTGGGGAAATTAGTGACTTGGCATCATGAAACTTTACTTCAGCAATTTCTTTCTTTTTTTAAAATATATTTTATTGATTTTTTTACAGAAAGGAAGGGAGAGGGAGAGAGAGTTAGAAATATCAATAAGAGAGAAACATCAATCAGCTGCCTCCTGCACACCTCCTACAGGGGATGTGTCCACAACCAAGGTGCATGTCCTTGACTGGAATTGAACCTGGGACCTTTCAGTCCGCAGGCCGATGCTCTATCAACTGAGCCAAACCAGTTAGGGCTACTTTAGCAATTTCCCATAACCTTCAATAAAAATGGAACTTTAGGGTGGATTAAACCTCATGTGAATATGATTTCTTCAAATCCAACAAACACAAAAAAGATAATTTCCCCTTTGCATTCAAGACTAGAAAGAGACACCAATGCAGATTAAAATTCATGGGAATTCCTCAAAAAACAAGCAATGCATAACACTCTATGTTCCAGATTCTCTGCTTTAAGCCTACATGTAAATAATGAGACAAATGATGCACCAATGAAAAGGTACAATATACTAGTACATTTTCTGACTGATTATAAACTGAAGTCATATAAGTTATTTTTGCTTTCTTTGTCACAAATATAGTCAATTATGGAAAATTTAATAACTAAAGTCGAAAGACTGGCTTATTATTTTAAATTTATTTAGTGATCCAAAACATTAATACCAAGCATGACTGCATCAGGGATTTTTAAAATTTATTTTTTCTTTATTTTATTTTTTCCATCACAACTTATCCCCCCTCTACCCTTCTCCACCTCCACCACCTTCCTGCACCCTGCAATCACTACATCATTGTTTATGTCCATGACTTCTTTCCCTTTTCTTTCTCCTTTTTTTGCTCAATCCCTCCATATCCTGCATCAGGGATTTTTTTAAATTTATTTTTGTTGGGTTCAGAGAGGAAGGGAGAGGGAGAAAGAAATAGAAACATCCACAGTGAGAGAGAATCATGGATCGGCTGCCTCCCGAAAGTCCCCCACTGAGGATCGAGCCCACAACTCGTGCATGTGCTCTTGACTGGAAATGAACCTGGGACCCTTCAGTTCGCAGGCTGACACTCTATCCACTGAGCCAAACCAGCTAGGGCTGCATCAGGGATTTTTTTTAATTAAGATTTTGGCTTTACCATTTAAGAACTGATCACAAAAATTGCAAAAGTTTCTATTGTAAATTCCATGAGATTAGATTAGAGTAGGGTTACAGTTGCTTCATGACCCTGATGAATATTGCTTTATTTTGCACAAACTTTACTTTTTTCCATATAATGTGCCACTTTCTAACATGCTATCTAGTTTATTTTTTATTACATGTTTTGTCTATTGTCTGCATTCCCTCATTAAACTATCATATCCACAGAAACAGAAATCTGGGTCTATTTTGAAGACCAAGTGCCTATAAGAGTGCCTGGAACATAGCGGGCACCCAATAAATATTTGTAAAATCAATGAATATTCTTAGTTCTGAATAAATCCAAAACCAATGCCTCACTGAATAATTGCATATACTCATGCATATATACATATTTAATTTAAATCCTATATATTTCCAATGCCTTTGTTATCTGTGGATCATCAATCAGTGCATGTTGATAGATTTAATAAAAATATTACAGAGCAACAAAAATCGGTCAAGCATTATTTGTTTTATGTAATTAATTTTTAAATAAGTAATTTTTAAATATCATTAAAATGGATATCAATGCTTTAACAACAGTGCTTTATTATTAAGTAAACTTTCAGAACAGAGTTTATAGTAGCTGATGTGACCCTTGGCTAGCTTGTATTATCTATATATATAAAAGGTTAAGCAACCAGCTGACCAGCTGACTGGCTGACTGGCCAGTAGGTATGACATGCACTGACCACCAGGAGGCAGACACTCAACGCAGGAGCTGCCTAACGACAGCAACTTTGCAAAGTGCCCTCTTGCACTCTGGGACCCTGTGGGGGATGTCGGACTGCCAGTTTCGGCCTGATCCCCGCAGGCCAGGCCGAGGGACCCTACCTGCTAGAGGGATCCCACTCACTCTGCAGATGCCCTTCGAGCCCCGGCGCCACCCCAGGTGTGGCCGGGGAGGGAACCTGAGAGGTTGGCTACAGGGCATGTCCGGCCCGTCTCACCCAGTCTCACCCCATGGCCACCTTCTAATTAATTTCCTTTCAATGTGCATGAATCCGTGCACCAGGCCACTAGTAAAAGATAAAGATGCTGTCTTTGTTAGATAATTCCAGCAAAATATAGAAACAGAATTACATGTGATATCTAAAAAGATTATGTTATAGTGCAACCATAATGAAGACTTTGAACATATGGAATAAAACCTGATTTTCTTTTCCCAACTCCAAATGTCACAAACACCTATACAAGGTCTTAATAGTACAGAAACGGATGCATTCTTCACTTCCATCTGTCTAGTACTCTCAGGATCCTCTATAACCCGAAAGTTATCTTCAGGTTTTCAGCATCCCATAATTTTTCATACACTTTCTTACCTTTTTAAGTAAGTAATGACTACTTTTTAAAATAGTAAGGGGAATGGCTTCTTCTATTTAATATTAAAACAATAATATCTTGCCCAGCCGGCTTGGCTCAGTGGTTGAGCTTCAATCTATGAACCAGGTGCTCACGATTTGATTCCTGGTCAGGGCACATGCCCAGGTTGCAGGCTCAATCCTCCATGGGGGTTGTGAAGGAGGCAGCCGATCAATGATTCCCATCATTGATGTTTCTATCTCTCTCTCCCTTTCTCTGAATATATATATTTAAAATCAATAATAATAATACCTGACTAATACATAACTAGAAAAGCCCAGCTCATTTTCTTCATAACAAAAATGTCTATGTTGCTGCAAAATATGTTGGCTGTAGTTTAGATTGTTTGGGAAAGTTTAGTGTATTTTTAAATTATTCAGAATTCAGTATGTGAGCATTATGCTATATATCTTGCTGTGCCCTGCCAGATGTACTCTCTACGCTCTCAGTACTAAGTGATTACTACCCTCCCTGGCCCTCCACCATCCTGTATTCCTTTAGGTCCAAGTTGGGTTTGATCAATGCAAATACCCTCCAGTCATAAGAAGAAGAACAGAGGCCCCCCCCCTGCCATTTTTCTGTAGGTTTGTGGGATTCCTCTACTGAGGACTTCATTTCCTGTCTGAAGGCCTCTCTGTCAAAACAATCCTGCTTGTTCCCCTTTCCTCTTATAGTCTAGGGAGAGTAGTGGCCCCTATTGGTGCTAGTCCTACGGTCCAACACTATCCTTGCTGCTCTTCCAAGCTTCCTATACCTTTGTAAATAGTCTCTCTTATCTTACCTGGTTTGTGAGTGCCATCTCCTTCTTGCTAAAGCTCTGATTAGATATACATAGACTTTCTCACATTGATGTTGTGCTTTAGACACTAAGACTTCTTCATCTCTGTAAATGGTGCAAAGCTTAAGCAAAGACTGGTGAATCACTCATTCCTCCACATCCTGTTAGTGAATTGTGTCCGGTCTGCTACTAAAATACATTTTGAAATTGTCCGTTTCTCTTTTTCTCTACTGCCAGCCTTCTAATTGAAGCTACTCTCATTTCCTACCTGAGCATTGCAATAACCTCCTAACTGCTCTTTTTTTTAGAAAAATTTATAATAATAAAAGCATAATATGCTAATTAGACCAGACAGGTGAACGACCTTCCGGACAAAGCCAGGGCTCTGAGGGCCAAGCCCCT